GGAATGGAGGAAGACACCTGGCATCCTGTTTTGGCTTCTACATGTATGCCCACACATGCTCATGCTTCAAGCAGAAAATAAATAGCACACTAATAATAAAATATATACATTGCAATGTGTAGGCACTCAGGCAAAACTATGTTACAATGTAGCCATGCATATGCATAAAGCAAAAATTAAATAACACTTCAGTAATAAAATATATGCATTGCAACATGTAAGCACTCAGGCAGAACCATGTTACAGTATAGCCAGGTCCTTGCGCCTGTATGTAAACTGAATGAGAAAGATAAATTATGTTGCAATTTCTTCCCACTGTCTTCCAAAACATGCAACATTGCTTTAGGCGGATTTTTCTGGAACAAAATTAAGTATTATAAACTTCTTAGATTTGATAGTACTTTTAATCCTGGAAATTTCACTGTGTGTATAAGAACAACATATCTTCTACACTCAGCAACTGTAACAGGTTTCACCTCTCTTCAGCAAAACATTTGAAAGTTACAGCTCACACAGGCTAACTCAAACAGTTCCGGTTTCTGCCGGTGAATGCTACCCAATGAAAAACTTACTAGCAGCTTTCCTGCTTCCATTGATAACCTTTGGCACGGGCAAATTTTCAGTCTGCCTTAACACATGCCCTGGACCCCTGAGAAATCATGTGATATTTATAGGTCCTTCCTGTAAAAATATCCTTTCACCAGCCCAACCAGGCAAAAGCGGCCATGACAAAAAGCCCTTGGAAGAAAGTGTGTCTTCTTGGAAGATATCAAAGGGGTCATAATGGCTAAGAAAAATAAAAACTAACCTGTCTTTATACTTTTTGTGATGGATGAGTAGAGACCATATGTAATATGTGAGGCCTCAAGTCTGGGTCCGACCTTGTTCAGCTCCCAGTCTGATTCTGCAGTATCTTCAGTGAGAGCATCCAGGTCCCTGTCCCCCGAGAGTGCTCAAATCTTAGCCTCCGCACATTCAAATATGGTAGGCGCATCTTCATTTGCTCGTAGAAGATTTTATTTGTTAATATTAAATAATATCCCTTAAAATACAGAAACATTGGAGGGGAAATATTTTCTCTGTCTTTTGTATAAAAAAATCTTCTCCCCTTTTTTCAAATCGTGCTCTCTCGTTCTTTCATAGCTCTTCTTCTAAGACCTTAGTGATGAGTTCACAGACTTTAACGTGTCTATTTTTCAAACAAACTAGAAAATTAGTCAAAAGCCATTATTATACTTTCTAGGGTTCATATTTCTTTTCTTTATACAAGGTAAATTAATTCTAATATAGCTATAGGCAATTTTATCTTCTTTATACTTTTGTTATTATTTATGTAAACATGTGTGTGTGTGTGTGTGTGAGTGTGTGTGTATATGTGTGTGTGAGTGTGTGTGTGCCTGAGGAGGTGAGAGGAGCATCAGATCCCTTAGAGCTTGAGTAATAAGCAGCTACGAGTTGCCTGATGTGGGTGCTGGGAATCAAACTCAGGTCCTCCGCAAAAACAATACATGCATTTAACTGCTGAGTCATCTCGCCAGCCCCTAAACAATTTTTAAGCTAATTTTTAAATTAGCTTTAATTTAAATTAAAATTTTTAATATTAAAATTAAAATTTTAACTTTTTTAAATTAAATTAAAATTTTAACTTTAAATTTTTAAAGCTAGTGGAGTGACTTGTCTGCAAACCCCTACCTACCTGAGAAGCTTTGTGAGGTGAAAAGACCTGGGTTTAAATCCAATTCTACCGCTTTCTGTCTTTATGCTGCACAGAAGAATGTTGGTCCGTTTCTTTTTTTTTTTAAATATTTTATTTATTATGTATACAATAGTCTGTCTGTGTGTATGCCTGCAGGCCGGAAGAGGGCACTAGACCTCTTTACAGATGGTTGTGAGCCACCATGTAGTTGCCGGGAATTGAACTCAGGACCTTTGGAAGAGCAGGCAATGCTCTTAACCACTGAGCCATCTCTCCAGCCCCTTGGTCCGTTTCTTTAGGTATCTACTGGGACAATATGTAAAGTACCTGGCTCACAGACTCATTGCTCATTAAATAGGCTCTAGGATGTCTATTACTAAAATCAGCAGCCATGCTTGTTGATATCTTAGTTCACCTAGCTGTTTTAATTGTCTCATACATATGATATTTTGTGGCTGGCAAAGCATTTGGAGATGACGTTCTAAAGAGGCCTAAGTTCTAAAAGGCCTCCATAGTTAAAAACCTCGCTGGGCTGTCTGAGATGTACTGAGAACAGGTAAAGGAAGGAAGGCAGTTATTAAACCACAATCCCACACTTCCGGAACACAGTCATGTGACCAGAGCTCTTCAAAGCTCAAGTTCTGTTTGCCAACATACTAAGCATGTAGGCTCCAACTACCTCTTGCAGTTTTACCTGGTTCCTCTGTTCGTCTTTACGAGGAAAGTGGCTTCTAAACCATTCCTACATTTTGGTTCTTTTCCAGGGATCCTTCTCAGCATGAAGACTCTACATGTTTAGTAGATTTATTTCAGATTCAGGTCAACAACTGGTGCTTTGCTTCCCAAAAATAGCTTTCCTGGTCTGCTCGATATATTCATACCCTCTCTCAACAATTCTGTGTATGCACATCTGTGTGTGTGTGTGTGTGTGTGTGTGTGTGCATACATATACCTCATACACTCTCTCACACACTCAAATCCACTCTTCAACACAGACCCATCTCGCAACACAGAAAGAAAATGACCTGGAAGGCCCTTGGGAGGCCCTAGACATCCATTAACTCATGACCTGTTTGGGGTCTTAGACACCTTTGCAAACCAGAGGGAGATTGTTGACTCTTCCTCTCTAGACAAATAGCACCCTTGCACAAGTGCAATTGCATGTTACAGACTCTGAAAACGAAATTTGTAAGTTTCATCATTCTCCGGTGTGTTTTGGTGAGGACTCAAAGACTATAGACATGACAACAGAATACAATGCCTGTCTGCACACACAAACATAACTACCTGAAACAGAAGCTCCCGAAAACAGGTCAGTCACGTATGTGCGATAGTTTCTAAGATAAATTTATCCTATGTGCCTGCCTAAAATGTTGCTCAGTTGTTACCCAATCCCCCACAAACTGGAAACGAAAATATATTAACATCATCTAACTAACATTTTTCTGCTTGGGAGATAAAGAAACTAAGACCCAAGGAAACCAAGAGTCTGGCCCCCATCTTTATTGAGAGATAGCTGAACAAGCCAAAACATGTCTATTTGGATCGCCAGCCCAAGCAAAAATTCCAAATACCAGCTCCCATCAAAAAGGGCAGAAGAGAGACCTCAGGCTTCAAGCATGCTGATGCTCTGGAGGTGGAACGCTGGCAAATGCTGGGCTGGGCCTGAGTCTCTGATTCAGGCAGCTTTCTTTCTAAGTCATGTCCATGGCCTAGCATGACTTGACAAATAGGCAAATCTTTCCCCGTTCTCCATTTCTCCAGCCACTACAACTAGCAAAGAAGAGCCCTCTCTTGGAACAGATTTTGAATACTTAGATCACACAGGCATTATTTGTCCACGAGTGGCAGCTGGCCGGGAAACAGGAGTGAACTGTCCTCTTCGCTTTCACCCGGGCCTCACACAGCTGTTTCTTCCACCCTGGGACTGCTTAATTAAAATTTAAACATCAAAACCACATGGATCAATGCGTGGATGTGAAGGGTCCAAAGCCTTTAAGTCGCCACTGCCAACAACCTCAGGCCCCACCCCGTCACTTTTAAAGCCAGGAGAAGCCAGGATCCATTAAGACGCTGCCTTGCCTTTGGTAGATTGGAAAGCTAGCCCTGCCCCTGGCATCCATCACATGTAACCGACTCACGGTCTCTTTGCTTGGAAGTTCTCCTGTATGTGAGTGTGCATAAACCACTGCTCATCATGAGAAGGGAATCTTTTAACAAGCAGAGGTCAGACACCTGCGGGGGGCGGGAGGGAGCACACGGACTACCGAGCAAGAAGGCAGGCGGGGGACAAGCAAGTGGTCACCTGGCGCCGGCCTGCCTGCACCTGCACACACGCCTAGCCAAGGGCAAAGCGCGTGGTCCCGGGCAGTTTCGGGCGTGCGGGCACGCTGAGCAACTGCGGAAAAGCGAAGCTGGTGAACCCCAACATGAGCCCCGAGTCACGGAGATGGCGGCCTATCCCCGGGCTCGCGAGGCCCCTCTTCGGGCACCAGAGTCGGGGGTAGCCAAGGATGTAGAAGGAAGTGCGGACCCTAAACCACGTGTACTCTGGGACGAACCGGGGGCCGTTGCTCCTCCCCTCCCCCCTCCCGCTGCGGCAGAAATTTGCCTGGGCCTCGGCCTTGAAAGCCCCCCCCCCATCCTCCAGAGTCCTTGTTGCGGGGGTGGGGTGGAGGGGTCTTTCACTTCAATCTGTTTTTGTCCTTGCCCTCCCCTTCAACAGAATTCTTGTGCTGGTGTTTCTGTTTTTTGTGCTTTTTTTTTCTTTTTTTAGAGGCGGTGGGGGGCAGGGAATAGGGGGAGTTTGCGTCTGAACATCCCTGAGCAAGGTAAACAGTTCTGAAGGTCAGCGACGACTCCCCGCTGGTCCCTCCCAAAAAGATGAACGCTCTTCTGGAGATCGTCTAGAAAACCCGAACTGTTTAAGCACCAAGTTCTCCAGCTATTCCATTAATTGGCTGAAACCCTACATCTTAATGATTAACAATTGTAAACACTCCTCCAAAAATAAAAGTATCAAAATTCTGGAAGCGATTATAAAGAAAGCTGTGAGATAGGTTCTCAGTCAAGATTAATTCAAGAATGTAAAAAAAATACACATATTTAGTGCTGCAAAAATGGAAAACTGAAGGAAATGGTATTTAGAAAACAGTCATTTAAAGAGGACATATATTACATAACTAAAAATTACGAATAGACCTCAGTAATCAAATTAGCCATCAGCACAAACTAAACAGGTCCATATTGTGGACACCCCCCCCCCCAGCATCTTTTAGCCGCCCCTCTGCTGTCAACCCCTTACCTTTATTTTCAGAATCTTTCATTCTCTGTTCCCTCCCTCTGCTGCACGAAAGTAGGGAAGTCCAGCTGTCTGTGCAACCCTGCCTTGGGATTTGTCATTCACGGACAGTCAGCGCGGTCCCGGGGGCGAAGTCCCTCAACGCAGGAGCACCCAAGCTATGATAATGGCATGCAAGTCAGTGTGCAGGGTTATAATTTTGCTTATGCTGGAGCGGAAGGGATGAGGATGAAGGCAGACGTAAACACGACTTCCAAAACATGGCATGGAACCGGATCTGGAGCCTAGGTTTGCCCTTCTCCCTTTCCTGGAGTTAGTGTCTCTTCGCCTCCAGAGAGACTCGGTTCGGTGTTGAACGTGGAAGGTCTGTGCAGTGATGGAGACTTATTTCAAATGACTTTGGAGGGGGGTTTAAGAGCCCCAGCTTCCTCTTCTATACTCATGTGATGCTTCCTTCATTTATTTAACAAACACTTCTGGGTGGGTCAGGCGCAATTCTTAGCCCTGTAGTGTGCAGGACCAAACCCTAGCTCTGCTCTCAATACAGAAGCAGTGGGTGCCATACGGTGACCTGTGCCTGCTGCAAAGACATGATTCCTAAAGCCGCTTCACCAGGATCTAAATCAATGAGCATGGAAGCTTTGCAAACCAGCCAGTCAGTGACTCAACCTGAGCCTGAGGAAGCCAGACCAGGAGATCCCTCTACCGAAAGGCAAGGAAGCTTCCAGCAAACGTTCTAGCCATTCAGACCACATTGAGTTTTGTCTCGTTCTACAACTCAGGTACATCCCTGCTTTCCTCTGTTCCACCTGTTAGGGTTTCAGAGGCTTTATGAAGCAGGCACATCCCTGCTCTGGTAGCAGTTTTTATCTTCCCGTGAGAGAATTCAGACAAGCAATAAAAAAACCATAAGCGGGGAATAACGGAACGTGGCAATGAGGTGACAAGTGCCATTTTTAGACAGTGTGGCCAAGTGAGAGGATGTTTAGCTTATGAAAAGTGGGGCAGCATTATCACAGTCTTCCAAACATCTCTACTTCAAAATGGGGCTGGGTGTGGCATTCAATGGCACAGTATTTGCCTGGCATTTGCAGGGCATTGGATTTGACCCAAAGCATTGCCTTACAGCCCTCCATGCCCCTCTAAACAAAAGAAAAACAAGTTTAAAGCTGCTTTTTCAAGGCTAGTGAGATGACTCACTGTGTAAAGATGCTTGCCACCAAGTCTGACTCATGACCTGAGTTCAATCCCTGGGCTCTACATAGTGGAAGGAGAGACCCACTCCCCCAAATTGTCCTCTGACCTCCACACATGTAGCACAATACACATGCACACACATATGAATGCAAAATCGACTACTGTTATAATTTTTAAGTAAATAAACCTTTAAAATAAAGTAAATAGGGGATGGAAAGATGGCTCAAAGGTTAAGAGCACTGGCTGGTGTTCCTGAGGACCCAGGTTGGATTCCCACCAACCACCCCACAGCTCAGGGATCTAGTGCCCTCTTCAGGCCTCCTTGAATACCAGGCATGTACATGGTACACACACACACACACACACACACACACACACACACACACACACATCTTGCTTATATATAAGCAAAGCACCCAGACACATGAAAATAACTTTTTAGTTAAAAAATAGTTTTTTTCTAGTTCTGAACCTTCACAAACCCCCTTCCTCTACTACATGTTACCTCACTGGTAGCCGGTTTTATATGATTTTTTTTCCCGTTACGGATTGGAAAAACTGATGCCCAGAGAGATTAGCTGATGAATTACAGGACCCATGTTTAGAGAAAAACCAACAGAAAGAAATCCATCTGCTACTCTCATCCTCAGAACTTCCTAGTAAACACAGTCTTGACAAAGATGTTCCAGTGGACGAGGGTGCTGAAGACCCTTCTGCCATTATCAACCGAGTGGTGAGGGTAGACGACTTAACCTCCCAGCATCATCTCCTCGCCGATAAACAGGAGCTCATCCCACCTGCCCTGGTACGCTGCTAGGAAGACCAAAGAAGAGAAGAGCTGCAGAACTTGGTAAACCATGCATTCTGTCAATGTGAGGAGTCATTACCAGCTGCTTGGGCACATTTAAGATGACTAATAAGTGTTCACCTGTGCATGGCCGTAGCCATGAGTCAAGTATGGCCACGGAACAGAAGCTGTCTTGGTCACTAGGGGGTCCCTGGGTTGATTTCTAGCTGTTTACATTTGAAGACTCCCTGTAAAGTTGGAAATGCTTAAGCATTTGGTTTTGGTTTCCATTACCCCTTGGCAATGTATAATGGCTTTCTGCTGTTCTTTAGAAGGTTAGGGGCCAGTGAGGGGAGCGCGCTGAGACAGTTGCATCTTGAATGTCTCCCAGAAGGCCATGCAATAAAGTCTTGGTCTAAAGGCACAGCTATTTGAAGAATGGAAACCCTTTAAGAGGTAGGGTCCAGGGGCTGGAGAGATGGCTCAGTGGTTAAGAGCATTGCCTGCTCTTCCAAAGGTCCTGAGTTCAATTCCCGGCAACCACATGGTGGCTCACAACCATCTGGAATGAGGTCTGGTGCCCTCTTCTGGTCTGCAGACATACACACAGACAGAATATTGTATACATAATAAATAAATAAATATTTAAAAAAAAAAAAAAAAAAAAAAAAAAAAAAAAAGAGGTAGGGTCCAGAGGGGGATCCTTAGGCCACTGTGAATACAGTCTTGAAGTGGATTATGGAACCACAGCACCACCCCCTTTCTCTTTCCTGGCATGGGATAAACTGTTTTTGCTTTGCCATGGGATCCTCAATAATATGTTGCCTTACCACCAACCCAAAGCAATTGGTCAAACCTATCAGGGACTGAAGTAGATAAACCTTTCCCGGGGCCAGTGAAACGGCTCCGGGGGCGAGGACACTTGTCAAACCAGAGGACCTGAGTTCAATCTCTGGAACCCACATGGTGGAAGGAGAGAACTGACTCCCAAAAGTTGTCCTCTGAACTTCACATGCACGTATGCACTCATGAACAATAAATGTAAAAAAAAAATGTTTAGGACAACCTGTTCCTCTGTAATTCATCTCACATATTTTGTTATAGAGAAGGAAAGCTGAATATCACAATTGTGTTCATTTTAACTCCTTCATATTCATCTTCTGAGCCTTTGGCCCATACATCACATCGAAGAACTGGGCATTCTCCTTCGAGGATTGTCAAACTATGCTGGGTAGGAGCATTCAGGGGGCTGAGATGCTGTAGACCTCATGCCCTCCCTTCACTCGGCGATACTAGTCGTGTTAGGGACTCTTCTACACGTGAGGAAGATGCAGCGCTGAACCAACATTCTGTCTTGGGGAGCTTGTGGCCTCCAGTTGAGGAATTCCTAATTCGGGCAAACAGATGCCAGGCCTGGGTTTGAATATTAGGGGGCAAAAGGGCTTTGAGGCGGAATAGACTGCATCCAAACATGGACTGTGCTATTTACTTGCCCCTAGAGAAAGTTAGGGTGCATTCTGGAGCCTCTCTAAAGTTTCCGTTCCAACCGTATGGGTTGAAGACAGTAATGAGACCATCCCATAAGGCTGGATGAAGCACAGTGACCTCAAACATGAAAAGGTACAGCACAATGCCACGAGGGAAGGTCACAGTCAGTGCTGGAAGATTAATAGGATGACCTGAGTCAGCCCTCTGAGCCTTAGCTTTCCTCATAAACTAAGGAAAATAGCAATTAGTTTGTAGGGTTTTATTGTGAGAATTATACCCCAGGACGGAGGTAAAGCCTGTGGTATAAAGGAGCAGGGACCCACAAGCTAGCTCACTCAAATTGCTTTTGCATTAGAGAAGGAATACCTGGATTTGAAGTAGTACGGAGAGGGAGGGAGGAGGGCTGCCATTTATATTTCAAAGGAAGTAACATGTTTTTAAGTGTGACCTTCTCTACGGATACCTGCTTTCCCCACCCCTCCCCCCCGAACGCTGCTTCTGCAAGGTTTCAAGCATACAAAGGAGTTGAAGGATTGCACACTGAACCCCATAACATATGCATTGTTGTGTCTGTGCATGTTTTTAACCTGTTCTTGGCTGCTCCTTAGTTTATCATGTGCTGGAGAGAGAACATGAGAGACAGACAGAGAGAGACAGAGACAGAGAGACAGAGAGTGCATGCCACGACGTGGTCATAGAGAGGTCAGAGAACGGCTCTGGGTAGTCTATTCTCATCTGCCACCTTTACATGGCTCCCAAGAACGGAACTCAAAATTAGGCTTGCCCTGCAAGTGCCTTTGGCTGTTGAGCTATGTCACCTGCCCCATCTTATTATATTTTTGAGACAAAATCTCACTATATTCCCAAGCTGACCTCAAACTTATGATCCTCCTGTTTCTGCCACAGAAGTACTAGGACCCACAGCCACACCCAGATTTTCTCTCCTCCTCTTTTTTAAAGGTGAGGCGCAAGATTCAGCAGTCCTTCTGTCTGGGCCTGGGCCACTGTATATGAGTAACTGAATATCTCTTTCTCCTTTTTAAAATCAGGTTGAAAGAGATTTATTAAATGGAAAGGGGGTTCCCCTCATGACACAATATACCTTAGATCTCTGATCCTCAGGCCATTACAGTTAGGGCCAGACAAGCTCTCCAAAGTTTTGACCTACCTCAAGATCATGCCTCACTCAGGAACAAGAACAAGCCTTGGATTGAGTCTTTCCACTAAGGGGTGCCTCTGACCCCAAGCTTATGATAGAACCATAACAAAAGCAATTCTAAATAGCCAGTCATGTCATGATGCTCCGTCTCAATAACTAGGTTTAGGGACTGCCTCCAGCAACTCCACTGGCCACTAAGTCCTTGGCATTTCTGCACAGTCCCTTTCTTGTTAGAAGCCACTTCTGAGTCACTCGTGAGTCACAAGCCTGCTGGAGAAAAGTGATGGCTTTCCCGGAAGTACCACACTTGGTCTTTCTCCACCCAGCTGAATCTCTGTTTGGTTTGCTCCAAGCACCCAAGTGGCAGTTAGGAAGGTAAAATGGAGAGAGAAAACTCTCTACCAAGCAATGGGGATGTGTAGCTGAGCATGCCTGAAGGCAGGTGGCATGGCTCCAAGGAAGGCAGAGACACCAGGAAGCCAAGCTACCAAACAAGAGGAAGGACGTTAACCCGCAGAATGCCTACCACTTGCCAGGCAGTTCGTTTTTATTGTCATTTGTATGTTTACTGGAGAACTCATTTGCCAA